CTTTTCGGTTTAGGTTTAAAAACCTGTTAGGCTTCACCATCCCTGTATTGGTCGTCCAATACTTCTCCTTCCTGGAGGTTGATATCGTAACATTTTTTGTGGAATTCTATCATCTGACATTCTTTCTACATGTTCCTTCCATTTATTTTTATATACTCTCACTTTTTCTTCTAATGGTTGAATTTTTAGTTCATTTCTTATTGTGTCATTTCTTAGTCTATCTTCTCTACTTATTCCGTTTATTTTTCGTAAGAACGTCATCTCCGTTGTTCTGAGTCTTTGCTTTTTACAATGACACATATTATTATAATAATAATAATAGTAGCTCCCGTATGTAGCGTTTAACGCCTTGGAAGCCTTAACAACCTTAACGCCTTAACAAGGACACATATTAATATACTAAATCAGGACTATTTATTTAAATTAAATTGGCATAATTTTTTCATCATATTACACATTCTTAGGCACTCTTAAACAAATTTCTTCTGCATGAACATGATGAAAATTTATCTAGTAATAGGTATATAATTCAAATATGTATATTTAATTTTGCAATATAACTAGGACAGACTAATTTTATTTAATCAATCTAATTTAATTAATCAATATAATCTAATCACTCGCTTTTATAAAACTTTAGAAATGTCTTTTACGGCTAATCAAAAAATTATAATTCTTAAAAAAAAAATTATAGTTTAAATTTTCACACTTATTTACCAATAACTTTTAAAAGCGTGTTTATTTTGCGACTTTAGTACAGTCGTAGTTAATAAAATAAAAATAAAGTATTCGCATGTTGACTTTTATAAAACCGAAATGTGCTTTAAACAGGAATTTATTAATAAAACAAATCAATATTTTATTTCTCCCCACATGAAAGTAATTTTATAAAAGTACACAAAGGTACGTCTGCTGTTTATAACGCAAAGTTACGACCCGTTTATATAACTTTTAATTCTATCATAAAATAAAACCATTACGGAAAAATAAAGAGTTCGCATTCCTCTATTTTATTGCGGTAATTTACTGGCTGTCATACCTCGTGCGCTGCTACTTCAGATTAAACCGTTTTATCTCGCTAGAGTACGTAGAAACACGATAAATTGCCTGCACCGTATGCACTTTGAAGTTCGGATTTAAAAAAGAAATGAATTTAGTTTGCTTCCGGCGAATCCTATAATGATAAATTGTGAACACTGGTATATGTATATGTTTGAAAAAATGTTCTTAGAATGTTAGAATTACGATTTTACACTGTTATGTATGATCAAGAAAATGCAATTTCATTTAAAGTTTGGTCTACTTTTATTTTACAGTGGTTCTTGAAAATTCCCATTAAACAACAATTAAAGTTGGTTCTTAAAGATAATGGATTTGTAGAGATTTTCCATATGTCTTTATACTGGGTGAGTTTTAAATAAGAGCAAATATTTTATGTGTGGTAGTATACAGGGTGAGTCTTAAATAAGTGCAAATGTTTTTAGGGGTTGTATATTTCGATCCCTTCTTACAGTGCCATACTCTATATATACAGAGCGTCGGCTACCTCTCGCATATACTTGTGCTGTGTGTCATCAGTGTTTCACAAGTACACGGGACCTACAGTTTATCGCCGAATCCGAACGGCACTATTTGAGAGACTGTACAAGGCAAATATACTCAAGGTGGTTTTCCATTGTCTTCCTTGAGGTAAAATAAAAACACTAAATTATAAATTGAGTTTAGTTTATAATCATCTGCTGATGATGCTAACATGGTTAGCGAAACGCGCGTCCAGTGTAAAAGTAAAAGTGTTTTGGTGTATTGTGGTGATTTAGTGTTTTTATTTTGCTGTGTAACACCAAAGGTTCCAACCCTCAACTGTAATTTCCTTGAGGTGGCGGCTCGATGGTCGCTCTATTTAGATAAATCAATATTTTTATTTAAATAAATAAAGCGACCTGAGGATCAAACCCAGTACCTTTCCATCCCTCGCACCGCAGATCGACACACTAATTGCTTGCCCTACGGCCGGCCAGACATTTCGACCCCAGAAACACGATTACGAGTTTGTTTTTGCGATTTTTTTTTGAAAATTTGCAATTTTTTAAAACTTTTTTTAGTTTATCGTTAAAAAAATAATTTCTTGATAATATGTCAACAAAGGTAGTAGACTAAATTTACAAGAATGAAAAGCCAGAAATGATCTAGAGATTCCCAAAATTTAAGAAAAAAATCATTTTTTTATAAAATTTTCAAAGTAAAATAACTCCGTCTCATTTGTACGCTGCTTCTATGGTATTAGCTGTTTTATTCAAGTCGAGATGGAAGCTTCGCTGCATCCAAGTAAGTTGGCAGCCTGCTTATATTACAATACAAGGAGCGTACAAGTGAGACGCGCGTTGAGATATTACGTGTATAAGTACAGTTATATGGCAGCATTGTATTTGGTCTAAGTACACTTGGACTGTGTCATTCCGCCTTTAATGTGATTGATATATTATGTGAATAGATGCGGAGCTTTATAACACTTACTTAGCCCATAGAAAATAGAAAAAAAATGACCAAAACCAATAAAAATGATGCTTGCCTTTGAAATAAGACAGATAACATAGAATACGATTATATTTAGGTAATTTAGTATACCTATAAGTATTAAAGTATACTTGTAAGTATTAAAATCAAATATAATTATTTTCTTACATCGGAATCAGGGGGTGTCACAAGAGCAATGAGTGCTAGAAATCTAAGCGAGGGACAATGGAACGATCGGAAGACGTGGAAGTTAGGCATCGGACAACGTTGCAAGACGTTCTAAACCGATATATATATATATATATATATGTATATATGTATATATATATATGTATCTCTCCATCTGGAGATACTATAAAAGTACGGAAGCGTACACGTGCCTTTGTCATAAAATAAACGCTCTACGGAAAAATAAAGAATTTGCATTCCGGTATTATATTGCGGTAATCTACTAGCTGTCATAGCTCGTACGCTGCCTACTTGATATTAAACTATCATTATATTTATCTCGCTAGAGTGCTTTGAACATGAGAAAATGCCCTTAGGAAAATTTGCGCTTTGATGTTGAGATTAAAAAAGACTTTAATTTACTTTCGGTGAATCGTGAAATGATAAATTATAAACAGCGTCGAATTATATTACTCACTTTATCAAATGCAGTAAACAAATAATAAATTATTTGAATGCATTATATAGAGTGAATCTTAAATAAGTGCATTTGTTTTTAGTGTATTTTGACTGCAAAAACACATTTATGAGGTTTTTTTCGCGAAAATATTTTTGAAATAATATTTATAATATAAATTTCTCTTTATTATTGTTACTGAGAATCTATAACAGTATAAATACTTCTATTTTTATGAATATTTGAGTTACTTTTAATTTTTTGGAAAAATAATGTACCTATAAAACTATTTCGAGAAAGTTTTCTCGAAGAAACTATTTCAAAGTAGGTTATTTATATTAGCTTTATTAAATAAATAACTATCTTATAGTTTGAATTCATTTTTGTGAATTTATTTTTATCTGTATTGTAAAATGTGCGATGGAACCATTTCTTTATTGATTTTTTTTTGTTCCTAGAGTAGGTACGAACTAGTCGGCGACAATCAGATGTAAGAAAGTAAGTTTTTTTACTGATTTCTGAAAATCTTTTTTTTTCTGATTGTTTTGTATCTACCACTTCAAACAACTTACATAAAAATAATAAAATTATATGATATATTCTAATTTTCCGCCAGGAAGTTAGTTCATTCCTGGCAAACTACATAGTGCCACTTTAAATTTGAAACTACTACTTGCGTTCTTTTTTAGTATGTTCTGTGGATGTGCTTTAAGTGGCTGAACATCGAACGTCTGTTTGCTACATTTGACTGTATCTTCGCTCTTTATTAAATTTAATAAGAGGGATAAAGACAGATTCCGGTTTATTTGTCTTTTATTCGCGTCTGTGCATATCGATAGCGGTAACAATGAACTTTTGAAAATCGGGTACTTGACAAATATCAAATTTGATAAATAGCACTAACGATAAAAATCTCCCCTGAAATTTTATCTCTAAAAAAATCCCCAAAAAATTTTACCCCCTAAAAAATCCTGTACAGATTTTTTCTCTCTAAATTTGAGGATAAAAACACTGCAGAAAAAAAGAAGAAAAAAGTCAAGGAGGAATTTGTTTCTGCAGATTCTATAGCCTTATAACAAATAAAATATTTTTAGTTTTAAATTAATGTTTAATTTTCATTAATTTGTCAACATATAAAAATTCTATTAGGCTTATACTTTACAATTTTATAAAATAACATGAACTTTTTAACATGCCTATGATCAAATTTTTCTATATGTTACAGTGTTAAGGTTCTTTTTTGCTATACCTTGAATATATTGTTTACTAAGGATAAACTATGCTTTAAGGCCCATGTTAGGAATGAGGAATTTGACAGCAGGTATTTGCTCTTTGATGTATAGGTGGTAAAAATTCTTTACATTCAAAAAATAATTAACTAAAAAACTGAACGAAATGTTAAATATTTTATTGTCATAATATCTTGAACTAAGATTAGACAATTTCATACAAAGATACTTAGTTTTGCATTACTCTTACTCGTGCAAACAAAGATTTTTTAATTTTTTTGAATTTATTTTTTCCACCTTTTGTAAGAGTTACTTCTAACATACCTGTCAAATTAGTATAAATCTTAATGTAAAAAAAATATATTTTAAAAGAAAAGCAGTGTTGATGTACTATTTAAATTTAAAATTAAACTATTAATTCCTCAAACATGTTCTCCAATAATGCCGAAAAATAAATTTGAAATTCCATTTATATATATAATTTAGTTCTTATTACTATGTACATTTAATTACATTGTATATTAGTTTTTACTTACTACATGCTATTATTGAAGTAAAAAAGTGAATATAGCTACATTGCAAAGAAACATGCGTTTGTGCTTGAGCAAAGTTTAAAAAGCAAAGAAGTGTACCTGGCTGAGCCCACACCGTTGCCACGTCTAGCTTAAAGCTCCCCAGCATTTTGTTACCGCGCAGAAAGTTGCGTGACTGCAGTACCTGCCAACGAGAAAATCAGGAAAAACAAAAGGAAAACTAGTGTAGAAAAGTACTGGAAGTAGTAGTTTATAGATCATAATGCGGTTAACAGGCAATATGCACGAACTTCTATATTATATTACCTATCATAAGAGAATTGAAAATTGAATTTATACAGATATATCTTTTACTATAGCAAAAATATAGAATAGATTGATTTGAGTAAGTATGTTGGGTTCCATACTCACATTTGCTTATATTTTAGCATTTTTGCTGTTAATAATGATTTTAGAGTAATATTTAACTGAACTATTATATTTATATTATCTCAATCAATTATACATGGTGTTTTTCCGGATAAGATGTAATATGTACTACATGGTATTTACAGTACTTCCTTTTTGATCCAGAAGGTGTTAAAAATTAAAAAAAGAATAATTTGTCGAAAAATTGATTTCTTGAATATTCTAGTTGGCAAAAATATGGAATTTTACGTCAGTATTACAAATTATTTGACAATAAGTTTTATAAAATTAATAACTATTTGACAATAAGCTTTATAAAAGCTTGAAAAAATTAATATCTTTCAAATTAATTAAAGTTAGGGTTTAGTTTTGATTGAGGCCATCTAACGGACAAACGAAGCACTTTTGTATAAAGGTAAATTATATGCAATTAATTTATTTTGATTCAAAGAATACGTAGTTGTTCTATATCCACGGACTATAGAAATTTCCTGTATATTTTGTAGGTCTTTGGTAAAAGAAATTCTCCAAAAAAAATTTTCTCAAAAACTATGCGATGTGGCGTTTTTTACAAGAGATAAAAAATGTAGTAAATACTAAAAAGAACATTTTACGAAAATAAAATCGGTCATCAGTTGGAAATTGGGGTGGGGGTAGTTTTCACCCTTGCTGTACTTTTTCTTGATTTTTGTGACTGTCAAATGTTAAAGCACTTAGCAAAACATAGACATCCAAAATCTTATTCAAAAAGGAATAACAGTTCTTAAAATATTTAAAAAATGTGTTATTTTTTTTAAAGTTTGATGCCCTCTAGCGGACAAACGAAGCACATTTGTATAGCGGTAAATTATGACAAATCAATTTATTTTGATTCCAAAAACACGTAGTAGTTCTATGTCCACGAAATATTGAGACACCCTGTACAGGGTGGTCAAAATTGATCTGTTTTAACAGAGAAAACCTATTTCCTGACAAGATAGAGCAAAACCGACATGGATGTCATGGGCTCGATTTCTGAGACACGTTTAATGGCGTAAACCACCTGTTGATATTTTCAGTGCCAACCGAGATACGGGGTCTATTTGAATTTTTTACCATTTGGAAACTTAAGGCACTTTTTTTAAGCACAATCCAGTGGCGTAGTCAGTTTTTCTGTAGAGTTGCTCTTTTTGTCAGAAATAATAAAAAATATAATTTTTTAAATGGAAATCATAGTTGGCTAAATCTCAAAAAAATGCTGACGTTTAATCCTTTCCAACGATATAAAGTTATGGGTATTTATTTCTAAGAATAAGAGAAATATTAGGTTTTTTATCTTTATATCAAAGCGGGCCTTGATTTTGTGTTGATCTAGTTACCTAAATATTTTTTATCACAATTTAATATTCTATAGTATTATTTATCTGCATAATTAAAGACTTTTGAAAAGGTAAATCAACATTCTATATTAGTATTACCAATTACAATTAAAACGCCATGGTTACAACAGAACTATTAAATGGAGAATTTAGAGAGAATTGGATTGGAACAAGGGGCCCCATATCTTAGCCTGCTAGGTCCTATGATTTAACTTCTTTTGACTTTTTTATGGAGGAAATTATATAGAAGACCTAATATATAAAAACCATTGGGACGAGAGAAGAATTACAGAAGGCTACGTGGCAAGCTTTTGGACTTATTATATCAGTACCTAATAAATCGATGTAACTTTGTGGTAAAAGATGTTGTGTATTTAGCAAGCAGGTGTTCAGTTTGAACATCTTTAATGTTTTTTTTGAGAAAACTATATTCATCACTCAAAAAATACGTTTTTTTAGTTTTATTCTTTGTTTATTGTATCTATTTCAATTGTAATTACAATACTAATATAGAATATTAATTTACAATATTGTAAAATATTGTAAAAAAATAATTAGGAAAATAAGTCAACACAAAATCAAGGCCCGCTTCGATATAAAGATAAAAAAACCCTAATATTTATGTCACTCTTAGAAATAAATACCCATAACTTTATATCGTTGGAAAGGATTAAACGCCAGCATTTTTTTGAGATTTAGCCAACTATGATTTCCATTTAAAAAATTATATTTTTTATTATTTCTGACAAAAAGAGCAACTCTACAGAAAATGGATGGTTCTTAAAAAAGTGCCTTAAGAACGTTTTTACAGAATTTTATTATTCCGCGAAATAAAAAAGTTATGGACAATTTTCAAAATGGTAAAAATATCAAAAAGACCCCGTATCTCAGTTGGCAGTGAATATATCAACAGGAGGTTTATGCCATTAAACGTGTCTCAGAAATCGAGTCCATGACAAAGATGTCGGTTTTGCTCTATCTAGTCTTAATTTAGTTTTCTCTGTTAAAACAGACCAATTTCGACCACCCTGTATATCTGGAAACCACATACTACAATAATTTAAGAAAATATCCAAAATATTGCGAGAATTTCGATTTTTACACACTGTAGATCAAAAAGGAAGTACCTTAGATGCAATGTTTATGTGACAAACACATATTAAAGTAAAGGTGTATCGTAATATATTCTATTATGATAGATAATGTTTAAGATAAGCTTGATTTTCATGAATCCGTTATACGTTGATACGATGGTCCGACCGTGCTCTGATTGGTCATAGCGTTTTCGCGCCACTTTTCATCCGTAAATATTTTACTTCAACCCGTCAACGGACCCGTTCATACGATAACGGACGTTTTGACACTTTTTTGACAAATTTAATCCAACCTTAATAAAAATATAAGTAAAATAGCAAAATCGTTATGGAAACGAAAATTTAAAATAACACCAACGTATATCCGATAAACGGAGGCATGAAAATGCATTAAATTTAAAAACTGCGTTATTTTCTAACCAATCAACGTGTTTAAATTCTACCAATAAAATTAATATCGTATCAACGTATCATCGGACAACGGATGCATGACATTCAAGCTTAAGTCTAAATATGTCTTAAAATTAAGCCAGATTTGTTTAAACAAAAATTGTATTTTAAAACTCTAATCTAACTTAATTTTAAGTAGGTATAAATTTCCTGAAATTACAAAAAGCGTTTCTCTTGAGAAAATTGTTAATTTCTTTACAAAAATGTTTTCGTTCATTTAGTGTCGCTGAAACTTAATTGAGAAACACTTTTAAGACCTCATTTAAAAATTACTTCGGTTAATTTAACTTCATCGGCTTAATTTTACAGAAACTAATTTAATGCCTCGTCAGGCTCATTCGAAGAAAATTAATTTTTAAATGGATCTTTTCTGGATAACATAAAGTAGAAAAACCGAACAAGACATTTTTAAACGTTATTCGGAATTGAAATAGTACCAGGTGTATCGTAAACGGTCTTAATATCGAGTTTGAAGCTTCCCACCACGGTATTGGATCGTAATAAGGATATTTTTCTAGAATGTACTACCTAAAAGAAATTTTAAAGTATTTTATATAAAAATATTGGTTAATTTGTTAAATAAATAATTAATGACGAATTTAACGATAATAGAATAAGAAATTTAAGTCATTATATATTAATAAAATACAAAAAATGTAAATTATTAATATAATAAAGGTAAATTAGGTACAATAAATTATGAATATACAAGGTGTAAATACATAAGTGCAAGTTCTATTAAAATAAAAATATGAAATATATATATTTCAATTTTCAATATATAATAATTTCGCAACCAAACCAAAAACAAAATGACATATATTTATAAACAAATTATATACATATATTAAAGGACTATGTAAATAGCTATTCCGTAGTTCGAGTGATTGGAATACAAATAATTTAATAATTCAAAGTTTTAGATTATTGTACACTGGAATACCAAGTTTAATAACTTTGGGAAACTCGAGAAGTGTAAAGCAGTTCAATATTTGGTCTGAAATTGCCAGTAAATTATATTCCTATCGCAACAGATTCCATAATACATTGCAATATTAATTTATAAAATTATTTAAAATCTTTGAAAACATCAAAATAAATTATTAACTAAAATAGTAGTTGATCAGTTTTTAATAGAAAATTTAATATGTACTGTATAAAATAGTTTCAAAAGTAAATATTCTGACCTTTCCTTGATACCCTAAAATTTTTGTTGTCATTTATCGTAATATTTATTCATACGAAACTTTTTTTAACAACCAAAACTTTTTGAACTTCAATTATTATAAGAGTCTATACCGGGTGCGTTTCAAAAAACTGGCTCACCCCTATAACTTCTTTATTTATTCAGATAAAAAAACGAGATTTAGTATGTTAGTATATAATATAAATTAGGATTTATTGACGTATTCAATTGTTTTTGGTCACTTCCTGTTTCACCTGAAATGATTACAACTTTTGGTTTTTAAATAACATCCCCGGTATGCTTTTACATTATTCGATAGAAAATGACACTCTGAATAGAATGACATATCGCATGTCAATTTTTGACATTTTCGCATATGGTTTATTTGAAATTGTAACATGCGGTTCATAATGACAATTTGACTCGAAATACCAAGTGTGTAGTACTAAATTATTTGTAAAAAATGATTTTTTTAAATATGCTAATGAGCCACCCATGTTCCATTTGAAAAAATTGAGAAGTGATTAAAAATACGATTTGGGCATCTTTTAACCGGTCAGGACAAGACAAGAAAAACATTATTTTTCCAAGGCTCCTTCATTAAATATTAGTGTTTTTAACACATCCATTGTAATCTTGATTGAAATTTAAGATACGATTTTTTAAGCTGAAAATGAAAAGTTGACATATAACATGTCATTCTATTCAGAGTGTCATTTTCTATCGAATAAAGTAAAAATATACCAGAGGTGCCATTTAAAAATCAAAAGTTGTAGTCATTTCCGGTGAAACAGGAAGTACCTAACCAAAAACAATTGAATATGTCAATCAATTCTAATTTATGCCATGTCTCGTTTTTTATCTAAGAAAATAAAAAAAGTTATAGGGGTGAGCCACTTTTGAGACGAACCCGATATATTTTTTTAATTTTTATATATTAGGCTACGGCTAAAATGGATACTTGGCTAGTTTTCAAACTAGCCAGCTATTTTGCAAAAAGCGCCGTTATTTTGTTGGTTGGGTGTAAGTTTGTGGTGTTGGTTGTGCTATTTGTTTGCAAAATAGCTGGCTAGTTTGAAAACTAACCAAGTATCTATTTTAGCCGTAACACATATTAAAGGATAGGGTATTTTAAAAGTCTAGTTTTGGACAACTCCGTCAAAAAGTTAACTAAAAGTTAACTTTCACAAACATTTTGTTATGCAAAATGTTTTTTTGAAACAAAAGTAGGTAGCAAATTCAACGCCAAAATAAACTTTTGTAATATTAAAATTGTTTAACTTTATTTTACCATTAGACCTTTTACCCTTTATATTATATCCCATGATAATATTCAGCACCAGTTTAAACATGAAACCCTTTTCAAAATTAGTGCAAGAATGGCGCTTTTTATCGCTGGGAAATATGATAATTAAAATTTTGCTTCTGTTAGATAAATTATAACTGAACTAATAAGTTCCAGTGTTTGTGTTTTTTTTTAATTTATTCTTTAAATTAACTGATAACTATTTACACTCACCGCCCGGCATGAAAATTTGCCACCATAAAATGTTGATGTAATTTAAAGTTTAATAAATTTTGTGCTAGTGGGCAGATTTTGATGATTTTTTAAGCAATTTGTAGCTATTTATTTTACTTTTTAGTACCCCTTTCTAAATAAAAATTTGTCAGTTATACAAGGGAAAACAAATTGTTAATATTTTGGTGAAAGTTCTTGATGGTTTGTGTTTCTTGATGGTTTGGTTTTTGGTTCAACTCAATAGTTTTATTTTTGTTGGAGATATTCGCTTTTGAAAACGACCTTAACATTATTTCGTAATTTTTGTTCAGATAATACTCGTAAAATGTTACAGAGTTACCGATAAAATAAAGAAAAAAAAACGAAAATATATATATAAAAATTATTACTAACACCGAGTATTGCTCACCCTCCTCCCGAGCTTCAACCACACCTAAATCTGTTAGAGACATAATTCTGATTTCCGACTATATTCAATTAAAGCAACTATAGCGGTTACAACTTCTGGACTTTAAACCATCTCAGCTAGAGTAACTGTCCAACAGACGATAATAATATGATTTTTCAATGAGAGTGACATTACATCAAGCAAAAACTATTTTCTAGGTCTGATAACTAGGACCAAAAGCAAAGGAATGGTTTAAACGCAAAAATTACGAAAAAATGTTGGTGTCTTCTTCAAAAGCGAAAATCTAAAGAAAATAAAGCAATTTTGATATGAATCAAAAGACAAACTATCGAGAAAAGATGCATCTGGATGATAAAATGATTTTTAAACTCCTTGCTTTGTTAAAAAAATCTACAGGGTGTTTCAAACTCACCAAAATATCAACATCCTTTTTCCCTCGTATAATAGACAGATGGAAACTTTCGTTTTTAATTCAGATGGAGATACTAAAAAGTCAAATAATTTAACTACAAATTACTTAAAAAATCATCAAAATCGGCCCACTTGACAATATATAAACTTTAAATTACATCAAAATGCTCGCTTTTCGTGCCGGTGAGTGTATAAACATGCACAGTTTTTTAATCAATCTAGTTTTAAAAGCTTCTGAAACAACCGACGCACTAGTATTACTATTATGATATTATCAAAGTATCAGGGGCTCTAATAATATAGGATGAGCTATTTCTGATCATTTTTCCCCGATCGATAAATGCGTGAGTTTAAATTAGATTAGATTAATTAGAGCAGGTAACTGATATGGGGTTATCCCACGATTTAGCCGTTGAACCTTAAGTTAATTTAAGTTAAACAACTTACCGATAGTTGGATGATTTTGTCAAAGAGCATGATAGGGGGCATGTGGAAGTCGAATACAAAATACTGGAAAGAAAAAATAAGAAAATTATCATAAAATAGATACAGTAAAATAATAAGTAATAATAGAAAATTGTAATTATAGTAGTTTCTAAAATAAAAAAAAACTTTAAGCGATACATTGAAGCTTAAACTACTACAAAATTAAAAACAGTTCGGAGATATAAAAAATCTAGAAGAAAATAATAAGTATTTTACTTTATTTTTTTTGTAATCACTAAATCTACGAATCCATTAATAGTCTAGATACCATCTTGTTATCTATATTTTTATAAGAAAATCTAGGAACTAGTGGGGTTGCAGTCGGAAGGGTTTGACAAACAATTAATACACTTTGTTAATTGTCAAGCTTTCGGAATTTATTTATTCCTTCCTTTAGGACACTAAAATGGAAATACATGTTAGACAATTATTGCTCTAAAAGTTAAGAATAAAAATTTACTTAACGTGGTACAGAAAAGATCTTCATAAAAACCACATTAAAAAATATGGCTCGTGTTGATAACTCCACCATGAAGCATCGCTGACCAGTCAACCACAAAAAAGGGGGAAGAGGGCTCTTTTAGGGCGGTTAAGCCGCCTGATATTTATTTAAAACATTGGAATAATTAATTTTTATATGTATACTAAGTGACATTGAAAATAGAACACCCACTAAATATTATTTAATTTTAATAAATGTTTGTAAGCATGTTTATTATTGTATGGATAAGAAATGATTTGCTATACAAGTTTTTGTTAAAATTCCAATCATCCAATATAGACCCGGCTTTCGCACAGTTTGTTACTTATTCTGCTACAGAGTAGTTTCAGATGTTTTTTTGAGTTTATTGTAATGCCTAGAATACGTAGACGTGCCAATTTTGGACAACTCAGTGATTTTGATAAGGGTCGGATTGTGAGTTTGCGGGCGGCAGGATTATAATTTCGAGAGATTGCTGATAGGGTTTATAGAAGTGTTTGCACTGTTGCCAATTGTAGTAGAGCTTACTTTCAACAACACCGTGAACATCGTGTCAGAGGTACAGGGCGTCTAAGATTAACCACTGAGGGTCTAGATCGCCGTTTAAGGCAATTAGCTGTCAGAGACCGTTCGGCCACTTTCCGCGCAATTGCTAACCAATGGTTTACGGAACACGGAAGACTCATCACGATGCGAACTGTTTACCGACGAATACGGTCTTTTGGGCTGCTTTCTTTTCGGCCTCATTGGGTTTTACCATTGACCCCTGAACATCGACCACAACGTCTAGAGTGGTGCAGAGCCCGACAAGAATGGGGCGCAGAATGGAATGCTGTCGTTTTTAGTGATGAGTCGCGATTCTGTTTGGGAATGCACGACGGTCGGGCGCGAGTGAGAAAATACCGTGGAGAAAGGCGGAATCCACAGTTTTTCATGGAGAGGCACGTAAACCAAGTTGTAGGAGTTATGGTTTGGAGAGCAATCGCATATGGTAGCAGGTCACGTCTAGTATTTGTTCGAGGTAATATGACAGCCCAACGCTATATTGAGGAAATTGTGAAAGCTCATCTCTTACCACACTTACAAACGCTCCACGATCCTATATTTCAACAAGATAATGCCCGTCCCCATGTTGCTAGATTAACTGTGAACCACTTACATAATGCCCAAGTTAATCTCCTACCCTGGCCACCAAGATCTCCAGATCTCTCACCAATTGAACATGTATGGGATATCATGGGTAGGAGACTGATAAACTTACCGCATCCTCCTCAGACACTAGAAGCTCTTCGGCATGAGATACAGTTAGCATGGGATGAAATACCGCAAGAAGACATAAATCATCTGATTAGTTCCATACCCAGACGGCTCAACGAATGTATAGAACATCGAGGTGGTCCAACACATTATTAACAAGGATAAGGTAACGACCCAATATTTTCACTCCAAATTTTGATCATTTACGCCTTTTGTCAACCTACATTCATGTACAAAAGATTATTAAAATTAAACAATTTTTAGTAGGTGTTCTATTTTCAATGTCTCTTAGTATATATGTTATACATAAAAATATCATTCTGTCAAAATAATCTCCACGAAAATTTTCACAAAATTTAGAAACCACTTTATACAGCGCAATCCTCTGTTCCGAAAAGATAATTTTGTTTTTTTATATTGCCTGACATTTATGCTGACAATAGCATTACTAATTTAAAAAAATATTTTTTTTTAAATTAGTTTATTAGTATATGTTCAATAATAATTGTGATTCAAACTTATTTTTATCTCGACGTTGAATATTTTTTAAATGGAATAGTTAGTAGATATATTTTTGACGGTCGACTTAGCGTTTGCCTGCTTTCTTAAATTTAAAAATATTTGAATTTTTCAAATATAAATATATAAATGTTTTTAATGTTTGAATAAAATTTGTCAATATTACCTCTATAAATGAAACCATGAAAAAAGAATCATAAACATATAAATTGTGATAAATTATTTTAAACAAAAATTTTTAACGTAAATTTAATAAATTAACTAACTTTCTAGTAAAAAAATATTTTTTTATATAAAAAAATAATTAAAATTAATTATCCGCTTTCAAGCGAAAAATTAGAGATGTTAATTTATAGAGTAAAAAAATAAGCAACTGAAAATAAAACGATTTAAAAAAATATATACATTTATACTATTATTCTAAATTAACTCTTTTTAGTTCAATTTTTGGACAAAGATATTGTACAAAGACTAATAATACGTAATTGTACTCAAATTTAGATCAATAACTGCTATTGGATATTGTTAATTGATTAGACGTTTGATTACATACAGTAACAATATTATAACTATATTTTACCTTTGTTCTGAAAAACAAATTACTGCCCTACAATGATATATAAACTAACACAATATATAGACTGTAAATTTTTTATTGAATTTTAAATATCCGACATTTTGTAAAATAAAATAAAACTAGTTGAAACCTGACGAATTTTGTAGACATTTTTTAAATTTAATTGACATTTGATATACAATAAAATCAAGTAGCATATGATTGAAAAAAAAAATGACGTCAAAGACGGCAGGGGAATGAAAATCGATGCTAATTTTGGCGAAGTCAGTCTCTAGACGTTATTTACAAAAAATTGATATAAAATTTGTCAAAAATTAATACTAATTATAGAAATAATAAAAATGGATAGAAAGTTGTCAGACACATAAATCTCTTTTAAGAAATTATTTTTTCTCGAATTTTAAACTACACAGTTTAAAAATTTTTACTCAATATAAAAAAATATCGGTCTTCTTAAGACCAACTAATAGGAAGCGTCATTAGAAAAAAGAGCTTACCAAATTTGACGTCGTTTTTTCGATTGTATGGTATTTTACAATACATTGCATTTTTATTTACGTCTATTACATATTTTTTTCTAGGCATCGATCACTAAGATCATTAGCCCAGGACTATGTTATGGATAAACTAATAACTAACTAAGTAAATATTGAGTGATAAAACATCGAAACAGACCAAAAAAAGTGGACAAGAAAACTAACTAACACAAATAACAAGAAAAAAATAGGTAAATATGAAGTTACATCACAGTATCACAGATGGTGGTATATATTAATTTCTTTCATAACAATCAAAACATTTATATTTTTTCTTTTTCAGCTAAATTTTCACAAATTTCTCGGCTTATCTGGAATTTACTTCTTTTTACCGTATGTTGAGGACATTCACATATAATGTGGGTTACTGTCAATTGAACATCATAGTCTATGCATGGAGGTATTTGGTTTTTAAGTAGATATGCATGTTTCACTGCAGTATGCCCAATATGAAGACGATGCACTCTGGATTCATCCGGTCGTCCTAGTGTAAAACGTAAGGATGTGATTGACGGATCCTATTTTATTACGCGAAGTTTTGAAGGTTTACTTGTCCACTCATCGTGCCATTAACTTTTTGTTCATTTATGTATTAGTTCTTTAAGATCATATTTATTAATAGAAGGGAAGGCAATGGCATCTCTTCTAGCAGCCTGTATAGCAGCTTCATCTGCCATTATGTTGCCAAGATATTAGTGTAGCTTGGGACCCACACACGTGAGTTTATTTCCCTTTTCACTGTTATTTTGAATAAGAGTCGAAGAAGAGAATTTTTTGTTTCAATCTAAAAAATCTCTTTTTGTCTCAACCAAACTAGACCCGATCTCTAAAGAGTTAGAGACAATTATCACTCTAGTTTGATTGTATTCTTCGATGACATAGGATAAGCCAGATAGCAAAATGTCCTGTGAAGAAAGCTGGTACTTTATGTCCCAAACCCCTTTAGAAAGCTGACCCGTTGATAATATTTGCACATCAGTTTGTGTTTTGGACCCATCAGTGTAAATGACATTTTTTTCATTGCAGTGATCTATTATTTTCTGGAACTGTCGTTGGTATATTTCAGGTGACTTGATGTTCGAGGTTATTCAGGTCTAATCTTCTTTCAGTTTCAGGTATTAGCCATGGAGGATTTTCATGAGGGATTTTTTTACATACTTAAAAAGTTATATACCTGTGTGACGGATTCATCTCCCCAAAAAATATCCTAGATTAAACAAATTAAAAATAATCATACAGAAATTTTGAGGTTTTTTGGTTTTACCCACGGGGGTGTCACTTGTATGGGAAAACAGGCAACAGTCAAATTTAAACGTGCCAGGATAAACGACAAAGAAAGCAACATCTGCCAGGCATTGGCTTTCTTTGTCACTCACATTGCTTAAATCATGACACCGCGGCCATTTTGCCAACTTGGAAGCTGGCCGGCTGTCCTGGCAAGTGATTTAAAACAATTTTACTTTTTTACAGTATTAAATTACCAATTACAATATTTAAGTTTGAAATTTCAAACAAATACTTTATTCATAAATACAACTAAGATAAAGATTAGATAAAGTATTTTTGTATTTTTAGATTTCAACTTTTGCAAAGACCCGCCGATAGAACTAGCCTGGCAGCTTACCTGTTTAACTAAACATATTATTTCCTGATAATAATATCAAAACACATAAGTACCTCTATAATTTAAGGTGAAAAATGATTTTGATGCCAGTAAAATTTTATTAAATCAACATTATATTATTTGGCAATTAATATGCAAAAAGGAGCATATTGTCTTAACAAAACTTTCTTTTACTTCTCTTGACAATGTTCTCCATTTTGTGTTAGTAAACTTTTGAACGGGATGTGCGATATATAAAATACATAATATATCCAAGGGTATGATTTCATAAAAGTATTTTTGATGCACGTTGGCTTGGTTTATGTTTTATTCAGCTTATATTTATTTAGTATAATAGTTTTTTTGCCTTTGGAATGACATACATTGAGACTAGATAGTATTTCATTAGATCATTAAAGGAATTTAAATTAGCATATAGTTTTTGCGAATTAGTGTGTTATCACGATACAACTGCTAGGTAGTAGAATATCATAGCGCCTTATGCATGTTATTTATTATATACTTATGTATTATCAGTAAATAGATGATAACATACTATTAAAATGTAATGTTAATAGTATATATTTATCTTTCCAATTCATTACTTATTTGCAAAATATGTTTTGAACTAATTTAAATAATTAATTGATCATCTTTTTTTTTTAGGTTCCGGGATATTCTTTTTCATTGTTAAAAATATATATTATATATATTTCAATATTATTGTAATATAAATGGCAGCTCTAAAAAATAAATGATACCTATTGTTTACTAAATGTGTAATTTATTTACTATGAATTTTCTCTGAAAATAATAAGTCTTTCTTAATAATATCATTGATTTACCGTGTAAAGTTAATAGACTTATTTTTTAATACTTTAAATTATATTAAAGTAATAAAAAATATGTTTATTAACTTTAAACAGTAAATCAGTGATAGTAATAAAAATATTTTTTTTAAAAATTTCCCCTCTTTTAAGCTCCGCCCCTCCAATTCCCCTCAATTTAGTTAGTACTGCCAGGCTACATCAGGTGGCGTCTTTTTCCATTTTTTAACATGAAGTTAGCATTTCTTTAATGTACCTATTGCCTGGTTTTACCTTATTAAGTAATTGTTATCAGGTAGTAATTGTTCATTTTGAAGTTTAACTTGATATAAAATGTCATTTTAACAGAACGTCAACGGTTTTTGTAGACGTATCTGATTTAAAAAGTGCTCACGAATAGTTGCATTTAAATATTTTAAAGAGTTTTTTTCTTTATTCTTTGTCTTTTTTTGCTTCAGATGACAAACTTTCCGAAATGTTAAGCAATTTTTTGTTCGTTTGGTTTGGTTAATTTGGCCAATTTGTTTATCTGTAAACCTAACTGCTGTCAAGTAGTCTCTCTTTGGATTAACGCAGCAGTGTTTACAAAAAATAACTATTTTATTTTGTAGATTTTCTTGCAGTGGCGAAATATCCATGTATGATTTTTTGGAGAGATGAATCCGCCACATAGTTATAATCATTTTTTTCAAAAATCTTAATAAAAAGTTGTAAAAGTTAAGTGATAAATAATGTTTGTTAAATAGTAATAAAACAATTATGTTTACCTCATTATAATAAGGACAGTTTGTGCTCTCTTTTACGCTGGTATACTTCCTTTGATCGCCCACTTGAATACAAACAACCGGATCCATATTGAGTCCTGCCAGCTGACGGGCTTCAATTATCGTCAAGCACACTTGAAAGTCTTGTGCCTTCAATGCGGAATCGGCTGCCGACTGGTTGCTCTTCAACTCCTTTAATCTGGAATCAAGTAATTCTATGGTTGGTTTGCATCTTAAACTAGACAGCTCGGGAGTATAATAATTGATTACTTTGTCACAAGATTAGATATCAAGCTCACATTTAAATATACAAGTACTTTTAAAGCAAAATGTTCTGGATTTCCAAAAATAAATATATGTGTTGTGTTTATATAATATTTTTATTTTAAAAGAATATGTAGATATCTTTTAATTGTATTATTGGAAAGCAAAAATGCGTTTTTAATGTTAGATGTACATCTTGATTATCTCTATAGCACTCTGCAGGTACTAAAGTCTCTTGTTACGCGTCTCGAAGCTAAAGTTGAAGGCTTGGTGCAAATATTTTTAAATTATGAGTTATTATATTTATTGTTTGTTTGCTCTTTTGTGAGTCAAGATATTCGCCCAGTCAGGGTTGAAAAATGTTAATACATTCAACAAGGTCCTTATTGTCACACTGGACCTAAAACATCGGCATGAATCGACAGCAAGTGATTGTATTTAGATTACTTTTAAACTGAAATTATTCACAGCATAAATCGAATCCATTAAGTGCATACATATATGTTATACTATGGCTTGCATTTCTGGCCTTGGGTGCCGATTTTCGTGTATACGAAGAGTACGGTCAGTGCGCTTAGCAAAATAAAATGTACCGAATAAAGACAGAAGGCAAGTATTTTCCCAAGCGCATGGAATCTGGCGTCAGATTAAGCGGTTATGAAATAAATACTTCTTATTTTTGCTCTCTCCGAGTTACTAGATTGCCGTAGCGATTCACTCCTATACATGTAAACGCTGACCCAAGATTTTGCTTGCCAGCAGGGTGTAATATAATTCTCAGGTGAAATAAAATAAGAAAAAACTTTAGCACAGTATATTACAACAGGAAAATAAGTTATATGCTTTAGTTTACATTATATAATTCTCAGGTGAAATAAAATAAGAAAAAGCTTTAGCACAGTATATTACAACAGGAAAATAAGTTATATGCTTTAGTTTACACTAGTTAAAAAATTAGGAAACATTTACTTTACCTTTAATAACCATTCTTTGTCACAAAACTTACAAACCAAAAAAACATCAATGCGTCTCGAACGGTAGTCTACTATATACCAACTTTGACCGCATTTCGATTTATTTCCAAAGTTATATGCTTTAGTTTACACTAGTTAAAAAATTAGGAAACATTTACTTTACCTTTAATAACCATTCTTTGTCACAAAACTTACAAACCAAAAAAACATCAATGCGTCTCGAACGGTAGTCTACTATATACCAACTTTGAACGCATTTCGATTTATTTCCAATTGTCTTTTTTTCCACCCAGTTTGGTTTGCCTCGACCTACTTTCGATTCTTAAAAGCGTCTGAAAACTACTCGTGAGGAGGGCGAGGGGGGATTTTTTTTTGGCGTTTTTGTTGCCTCGTTCAATTTTGTTTTGTTTTGAGCTGTTTCCAAAACGTGGCGGTATCTGTACCGGAGGCAAAGGATTTTTTTTCATAAATCTCAGTGAAATAAGTAAACCTAGACGTTTCTAAAATAGCTTTTGTTACGATGATATTTCGTTAATTACATCTCGTTTTATGTCATATTGATATATATTCCACAAAATTAATATTTGAACACGCATTTATTATATGTATAGTAGATATTTATGAACAAAACTTTTTACTTAAACTGCAGGAATATAATTACAATATTTTTATGATTTAATTTTATTATAATAATTAATTAGTATATAAAATTGTATAGGATATGTTTGTTTACGGCCTTAATTGATTAATATAAGAGTAGTATTGCTTGATGAGTAATACGGGTACTTAATCATGTACTCATCATGATGATGAGTATTGCTTGATGAGAAATACTGGTAATATTATCAATATATCCGCTTGGGAAAATTATTTATTGACCCGATGTCAACAAAAGTATGGCCCACGAACATTATTTAAAAGCAATGTTCTTTTATTGTTCTTAAGAGAAATCTGTAAATGATACTTTTATTAGCACCCAGCATGGTTTCATATAAATTCATTCAACTAGTATTTATTATGTACGGATTTAGACAATTAAAACAAGAAAAACAAAACCAAATTTGTAAACTAAGCTTTCCTATAGACTACAGTATAAATGTTACTTTACCATAACCAGAAATAGGTAATAAATAATTAGACGAATTTTTTAAATAATTTTGTGTATATTTTGTTCATGATGCGCACTACCGTGGATTATAAGCCGATAAATGGTAGACCGCTAGTTAGTCACTGTTTTATATATTTTTTACTATATTGTAATTAACAATATCAGACAATGATTAAAACTAAATATTCTTGTGTAACCTTAGAGGAAACGCCAATTTATTCTACCATCGGTAACTGTTTTCTAAATGCACTGTTTTTGATTTTTCATATAGTTTAATATAGTGGTATTACATTACACTCCATTACAAATTAATGATATTTATTCATGCTCCATGTTTACTTATTTTTCTGAAGCCACCTCAACGTTTGACCTTGATTGCCTCGTGCTATTTAACAAAATAGTACGATAACTGTAAGCCGGTGTTAGGTTAGGTTGTAACCCAGATTAACAATAAAAAACAACAACCAATCACGGCACGTCTCGATCAATTTCAGGAAATGTGGGAACTAATTTTTATAACACGAGATTATATTTATCGTACTGTTTTCAGAAATATTTTGCGAAATGTTTTAAGAAATATTTCGTAAAACATTTCGGGGATAGTGTAGCGGCTGTTTAAAAGCTATTACCTAAAACCTTATCATATATCTGTTCGTCGTCTAACTTCCCTCTCCCTAGTTTGCGAATAATATTTTTAAAATCAATAATTTTATTTATGTTTACAGAGTGTCTTAAAACTGACTGTATTGATTTTAATGAAATATGTTTATTTTCAAATAGACGGGTCATCTCACAACCTTTCAAATAATGGCATTTGTATTCGGTGATAAAATGTGAGTCATGAGTAATTGTGAAAAATTAATCACATATATCACTATAACGTGCGAGGAGATATATTCAGAAATTTACATGTTGCCAATGCGTCTTATTTTTAAAAATGTTTTGTACATACACTATACCGTGCTGGCAACTGTTACTTTTGGGTCGGCATTTACATGTGTGGAAGTAAATCGCATAGGGATCTTATTAAGTCGGAGTGAGAGAAATGCGACCGACCGAGACCACGCGCGACGGTGTGCTGTTGCGGCGTTGCCGATACGCCTTTCCCTATCAAGTAAAGTAAAATCACGATCGCAAACCGCTTATTTTTAAAAGACTTTTTTCAAGAGATAACTAGATAAAATCATTAGACATGTTTCTGAGCATCTGAAATGGAATTATAAGGATATCGTTAGGGTGTCATTTTTTTATAACGAGAAAACGTCAGTAATCGCGATAATTTAAAAACTCAACTTTTTAACACATAACAGGCCATAACTCAAGAACCATTTTAAATATTGAAACTTTTTTTATTTTCAAGATCGGATATTTTACAATATGTTTACATAAGAAAAATTCGATAAGGTTGTTTTTTCCATTCAAAAATTGTAAACAATCCATCCATTTACTTTTAGAGCATAGCATTTTTCAGCAATCATGTAATTTTTTATTGATAAAGATTTTTACATACTGTCCACAAAGAAAATACAGCAGAAATATTAACAAAGTTCTTGAAAAAAACTACAATCTATTATTTCTAATAGATTTCTAGATATCGATTTTTGAATTCAGAGTTCTAATAGCGCGACCACTATCGAACACCCACTCAATTCCACTTATTTTTACCAAAAATGCAAGTGTTTCTAGGTTGCACTTAAAAAAATTCAAGCTATAGGGAAAATTATAACGACTCGTTAATAAATAAACAAATTAAGTATCACGAGACGTAATTAAATCGTGAAGCTGAACGCATGACGTACACCTATCCCTAGAACTTTAAGTACTGACAGAGGTATTGATTGGGTCGACCGATCAACTGCGACAATTCTGCTATATCCGTTTCCACGTCTCTTAGCGATGTGCACAGTTTCTCGGTTTATTTCATACTTTTGGCAACGTGTTTACTGTCCTCTCTTTGTTCAGTACATTATAAACGAATTGTACTCTTCTTATATACGGAAATCTCGACCGAAGACAAACCTTTGCCAGCCCTTAGTATAATCATTTTCTTAAGGAAATTATTTCCTCTCTTTAGAGTATATTAGAGTCTAAATGCCTTAAGAAAAATGCTCTCAATTTTAATTTAAAATTTCACTAAATAATGGTAGAAAAAGACACCTTTACATAAACTATGCAGGAAATGTTCAATTTAAAACCTGAGATATAAAGATTTTATAAAATTCAACCCGGACCTTATATAAATGCAAATTTACCTTGAAGCGGGAATGTCTTCGAATTCCGCTAGAACTGAAAAATTCCTCGGCTAAGACCTCGGGATATTTTTAATTTAAGAGAAAATAAAATCGATAAATTCTTTTAGCCACTATGGCTTTTAAGCTAAAATATCACGTTCGAAATAAACTGCTATTATAGCTTGAAATTAAAATCTGATGTGATTTGTTGCCTAAAATATATGAAAAAAAAAGGGATATGAATAGAAGTATATTGCTTTTTTTTCTGTCAATTTTTGGATATCGTTAGTCGAAATCATCCCTTCTCTAGGTAGACTAAAAATTTTGAAACACAATTTTTTTACAATAAATATTATTTCACAATTACCATTGTTATTATTCACGGTTATCGTTTATGTTGATCGCATTGAAATAATTATAAAATCGTGGCTTTGTCATAATATTTAAGTATTTTAGTGTGTACTAATGCAGTTATTGAAACTACAAAACACTCAAGTACGAGATTTTTGTGATTTAACGCTTTTTCGGGTAGTAAAAATTTAGTGAACAAAAAACTGATGAACAAATACCGTATGATCGAATAAAAATTGCGTCAGCGATGACTATAAAATGAAGATCGCTG